TTCTTCTGCCCTCATATTTGCAAACCCAGATTTGGAACCCAACTTAAAACATCAATTACAACAATCCATCACCATTTCATCTACCAGATATAAAATAATTCACATAGCCAAAACCCATAAAATTTAAAGACTGAATTTTTTAAGGAAAAAATTGATATGATAATCCTTAATCTCCAGAAAAAATAAAAATTCATAACGCCGATCGATTTCTCATCACACCCAGATGCCGATGTCGTAGCGAACCCAACCCCCCGAGAACCTTCGATCGGCAAAACCCAGGTGGTTAGGTCGTCGTCGACCTCGAAAACTGAGCGACGTGCAGATCTCCTCGAATCGCCGATCTCACCATTGGAACGAGGGGGTCTAGATCTATTGGCTCCATGTTGTGTCGCAGATCCCACATAGAGACGGAGAGAGACGGAGACATTCATAGAGAGAGAGAGAGGGGAGGTGGCTAGGGCTCTAGTATTCGATGGGGCTAGGAGGAGACGGCTATGGTATTGAATTTTTCATTTTCTTTTTTCTTTTTGAAGTTTAATAATTTTAATAATTTAAAATTATTTTTAAATAATTGAGAATTGTTTATTATATATTTTGCCCACATGGAAGTCCACATCATCAAAATTTGGGTCACACATTTGCCACGTCAGCATTTAACAGATTCACTAACGGTTTGACTAACAGAGGGGGCAATTTGTAAGTTTTCCGCGACGTTGTGTATGTACTCGTAAATGTCCCTAAAATCGGGTATGGAATCATAAATGACCCTAGGTTGGGGGGTTTTACTGTAGTTTATCCTAGATATTAATTTGTGCCAAAATTTATAGAGCAAGTGTGTTATGAACTTATGATCCATGGCTGGAGAGACATGTTTTGTGGTTGCCCTTGTACAGCTCGAGTGTGATGAGGACATATGTCTGTAGTTGAAATCCTTCACAAACAGTTGCCTCTCTTAATGGCTTAGTTTTCTTCACACAGGGAATCCATCAATGGATAAATAAAGCAAAGTGATCATCTCCTTGCACAAGGAAGACAATCACAGAGTGTCATAATTTGGACTTAATCTTAACATATCAAAGTGAAGTTCCTTTTTAGATCATGACCTGATATCATTGAGACAGGAATTCACTCATCATTAATCATCATGAGACAACATAAACTTCAAAAGAGTAAACAAAACAGCATGAGAACTTGTGAGACAATATAATCATCACTCATCATTATGCATCATATGCGCCAATCAGTCATTTCAGTTGAATAAAGCACAAGGTTAGCAATGGAAATGTGAGGTGGGGATATGCATGAAGCATTCTTCAATCAGAAACTGGGTTGTGATGAACGCATCGATGATGATTAAAAATTTAATAATAATAATAACCTATACAGGTCCTGATCATAGTTATAAAACAGAAACTAAAGTTTGAAGCTCAACCAAGAAAAGAATAATATATGAGGGATATAAAACCACATGCCAACTCCGTTTCTTATTATTATCAAAGAAATTTCCAAAGAGAAAGAGACTGGAGGGGTGTGCCCTTCCATCCAACAAGAAGGCATTTCCCATCCATATTGACTGTGCAAGAACTCCCACAAGAAAAATTCTTAAGCACCAGGTCTACTTGATACAAGGATGATGGGCTCCAATCTATTTCCTCCATTCCATACCGTGCAAAAAATGCCCTCCAAATGTCAATCTTCACATGTCGAATCTTCCTTTCCTCTCCTTCAGCTGCCACAATGTTTCTAAGTCCATTCCCAAAGTACAGTGATTCTAAAATCATTCTGTTTGGATCATTTCGTTCCATACAAGTTTCCACGCAGTCGAAGTACGCGCCAAAGAAGAAAAGGGCCTCAATAAAACGGGTCACAAAGACTGGAGAGTTGTGATTTCCCTCAACTTCAGTGACCACTGTTACACATGGACGGATGTTTTTGATTACTCTCATTGCAGATTCCAGTCGATCTGGCTGTGCAACCATGCTCCTCATTGCGAACTCAGAATAGACAGCAACTGTTTCTTCAGAATCTAGCTCAAACATATCTTCTTTGAGATCTAGCATGTCTGGTACCATCACTAATTTGAAAGAAAAGGGTAAGTTCATGCTTTCGGCAAAACTCTCCAACCTCTTGCCTGTTTCCTCAATTAATATTCTGGAACTAGTTCCTATAGCACTTATCTTGAGAAGCTCAACTGGACAATCAGAACGAGATGCTAAGGCTTGCATCAGACCTGTCCATTGCACCCCATTCCTGATTTCCAGATCAATTACATGTACCTTCTTAGCCTCAGCCACATTTTCCACAATGGCTTGAATTCCAGCAAATTGTGCAACTTGGCCGAAAGGAATCTTGATTTGACATGCAAGGGAGGTCTCATTTGGTCCCTTCATTGCCTTATTAACATCAAATGAAGGCTTGTTCCCCAAACCCTTTGGTGTGACTCTTCCAGTTTCGCGATCGATCTTCTCTTGAAGAGCTTCAGAAAAATAGTAAACTACTCGTTCAACTGAATTCCCGGTACTGGAAGACAACAAATCACATCGATTAAGCAATTTGCCTGCACGCTCATACTGCTGATATCCTACTTTCTCAGCAGAAGCAAGAAGGAACTCAACAAGCTCCACATCTCTAGTCTCCTCAACTGAGAGGCCAGAAAAGGATAATTCATAAGGATGGCTAAGCATGGAAGCAACACCAGACGCTTGGGAAGAAGTCCGAATGAACCTTGCTCCTGCCACCCTCATGATTTCTTCAGTTGATAACTTCCTGCCTGCCACCTGATCTGTGCATGCTGTGTAATTGCTAGACTCAAAAATCCTGTCCCCATTCAACCGTTTAAACCCACTGCCGTAGTTGTTCAAGAGATCAAGCCCTGCTAAGGAGGAGAAATCTCGCTTCTCTTTCTTGGGTTCAACATGTGGAACCAAAGTTGGGATATCTTCAAGCTTTGCAATCTCCTCTAAGCATGCTTGAAATGGTGGAGAGAGAGCATCAAACTGCATGGCATCAAATAATCCGTAGTCTGAAACCAATGGTTGCCGCTCTTCTTGTTGTTGAAACTTGGGGAAAAGGAGCTCTGAGGAGTAGTGATTATTGCCATAAAATCCATAATCAGAACCAAGGGAACCAAATCCCCCTGAGTCCCCCAAATTGTCAGCTTCATAAGAACGAACTTGTTTCCCAATATTGTTCACCTCTTCCATTATAATATCAGAACCTTTATCAGTGGAGCTAAGTTTATCCTGAACTCCACTGAAATTGAACTCCCCGAAAGAAAACATAGCATTCGTCATCTCGAAAGGGAAACTAACACACACACAATTTGGGCTCCAGGTTCAGATATTAAGCAATAATTCAAGATAGACATGAACAAATTAAACATCTTCTGAGTTTCTTATTCCAAGTTGGTTATATATGAAAATCACTTTGTAAATAGAATAATATTACCCCTTTTGACAGAGTCGCACATGGGTCATCATCAAGTACTGAACAACGATATTGATGTTTTTGATGCTATCAAGATGGCCTGCATCCCATAATCCAAATATATGAATGCCATTTGGCCCAATTAACAACAATAAAAGTATAATATAATTCCTTTCAGGATCCAAACGAGGTGTCAATGACAGCCCCCAATCATCAAAACAATTATTATACGAAGTTCCCAAACAATGTATCTCCTAAGAAGTTCAGCCAAGAGAGATGAAACAAAAGGTAGACAATATAGAATATTATTATAATCAAGGAGCGAAGAAGATAATGCAATACAGGTAAGTTAGTTGGGAGCTTACAAAGCAGCCTGCTACGTACAAAGCTTGTTGTGCTTTCAATCGAAAGAGCTGAGGAGGCTCTGAGAGCGACAGCCGACAGAAGTTGGATGTTGTTGTGTGTATATTTCACCTGTCATTAGCTTGTAACAGTACCTTGTCGGATTCGAGAGCAACAGCGAAGGATTCTACACATTTTTGCACAGACCTAATAGCTGGTGCAGACCGTGGCCGGCAGGCATGCACGCCTTGATGAGCGCCAGCGGCTGACCAAGATCAAGCAAAGCAACCCCAGTTGGGTGCAGGCGAATATATATATATATATATATATATATATGGAACACAAGTAGCCCTTGAAATTTGTTATGTGTATATATACAAGGACCATCAAAGTATATATTTATATGTCAAAGGTGGAGAAAGAGAAAACGTACTCTGTATCTTCAAAATGTTCAATATCAACCACCACTTCTCTATGAATGCAAAGCTTAACAAAAGAAAGAAAGAAAAGAAGAAAAAAGAAGAAAAAAAAAGGAACATTAACCAACATGAGCATCGAGTACGAGTGAGAAGCAGTTCGTCCTGTGATATAGTCGAATATAGGTAAGATTCTATAATCAAGTTCTTTTACTTTTTTGTTTGGATGGGGGAATTTAAGGGCTAAGAAAATTTAAAATGATGGAATTTATAATGTTGGGCTCAAACTTTTTGATTTTGGAGTGTTAAAATCATCACCCTAAATAAATTGAAAGGGAAAAAATTTAGCAATGCCCCTTAATCCCGGACCTTGTGTCACTTTGTTCGTCCGAACTTTTAATTTGATTTTGAGTCTCCTTAAACTTGCATTACATACCAATGTCCCTCCCAACCTGCGCGAATTGTCATTCACAATCAATAACTTAAACCCTAACTTTAAGGTCATATACATCAATTGACGCCTCAACTAGGCATTGACCCCCAATTTTGAGCCTTGGGATCTTAGTTGAGCGTGGATAAGATTTTAGGATCTGTTAACAAGCAGGCTTGGACTTGAAGATATCTGAAGTTAAGGCCCTGTATGGAATTAGGCCGAGTGGTGTGCCATGGATTTAATTTACCCAATTAATCCATCAATTCACTTTAACATAAACAAAGTTAGCTCCACGATATCCAGTAATATTATGACACGTACGCAAACGCACATCAGATGACGTGGCGAAGAACGAACAAAAATCAAAGAGTGCTATCTCAATCACACCTATAAACACCTGCAGGTCTCTTTCCTCTCTCCGCTTCGTATAATAATTGTAAATTTAAAGTTTTGTTAACCGGAAGAGGTGGTTGTGGATCGGGTGGATCTGGGCAGATCGAACAAAGTCGAATCGAGTCGGATCGGAGGGTGATGGCGGAGGACAAGTACAACCTGAAGAACCCAGCGGTGAAGCGGATTCTACAGGAGGTTAAGGAGATGCAATCCAATCCCTCCGACGATTTCATGAGCCTCCCCCTCGAGGTTAATTTTACTTTTCCCATGCCCCTTCGTTTTTATTTTATGTAATTGATCTTTGACTTTTGGTTTAATTTCACTTTGATGGGAAAGTTAAGATTTTGATAGGTGAATTTCAATTCTATTTGAATTTTGAGTATTGGGTTCGAGCTGAATTGGGATTTTTAGCATTCGAATTTGTTCTAAGATAAGTTGTTGTGGTTTTTTGAAGAAGACATTGGGCATAATTGGTCACTTCGTTTTTTCGCTTTTCCGCTATTGGAATTGGGCATGTTGTTTGGCCAAAATGCTAATTATCAATCTGTCGATATCTGTAGTTGTTAGCTCATTGGTATTTGTTTTCAGGAGAACATATTTGACTGGCAATTTGCAATCAGAGGCCCTAGTGAAACCGAATTCGAGGGTGGGATTTATCATGGGCGGATCCAGTTGCCGGCGGAATACCCATTCAAGCCTCCTTCATTTATGTTGTTGACGGTAATATGTTCTTGCGTTTTGAGGTTTATGGGCTCTTTGCTGATTGGGTTAGTTTTCATTATTTTTATATATAAAAAAGTATCACTCATGATGGGTTGGCTTATTTACTTTACTTACAGCCCAATGGTCGGTTTGAAACCCAAACCAAGATTTGCTTAAGCATATCGAATCATCATCCCGAGCACTGGCAGCCATCATGGAGTGGTGAGTTTCATTCTTTCTGAGAGATTGTGTATGCTAGTAGTATTGTATAATGCAGTTAAAATTTCATATGATGTTTAAATTTGGAAGCTGATTACTAGGTAGCTAAATATGGTTCACTCATGCTGGATAGGTTTAGCAATTTTCCAATATGCATTTAGTAAGGGGCATCCATATTGCTTAGCCCAATCATGCACGCCAGAACTCATGACATTTTAATGGATAGATACACCACTAAACCATGATTGGCTTGAAATGGAGTTGGAACTGGACTGCTTAGTCCAATGACCAAATCACTATAAGTCCATGCCGCAACCTGAACTAATTGTCTTGGCTGCATCCAGTGTTTTTTATAATGTGACGTGTTTTGATCTTTTCCTATTTTTATTCTTAATGTGTATTTATTCAGTTATTGACATTTTAATCGGGATTGGGAATATGGTCAGTGTGCTAATGGGAAAGACAGCTGAAATTTGAGTTGTGACATTTTACTTTCATCTTGCTAATGTACTGTTGCTGTTTGCAGTGCGAACTGCTTTAGTTGCACTTATTGCATTTATGCCCACCAACCCAAATGGTGCATTGGGTTCAGTAGAATACAAGACGGAAGAAAGGCGTTCCCTGGCCATCAAATCTCGTGCAACAGCCCCAAGATATGGCACTGCTGAACGTCAGAAGCTAATTGATGAGGTACCATAACTACTGAAAGTTTCATTGCAATCAACATAGACTAACATTTCATGACGAAAACTTGCTAATGGATGCGTTAATTTCACAGATTCATGAATGTATGCTAAGCAAGGCACCACCTGTTCCTCAACTGAGCCCCTCACAGGATTCCAAAGAGCATCCCTCAAACAGGGAAGGTGATGTTCAGGTGAGTTCCCAAAATGATGGAGCCACACCTGCTGGGGAACCTGCTGCAGAATGGTCTCCAAACCCAGCAGTAGGAGACAGGATTGTTGAAGAAGTACAGGAAGCCCCTTTGAATGCTAACCCAGGCCCTGAAGTAGTGAGGACATTGAATGCAGCTCCTTCCGGTGGATCAAGTCAGCTGCTACAAAGGCCAGAAATGAAAGTACAAAAACCGGCCGATGATCGCTTGTTCACATGGGCTGCTGTTGGACTTACCATTGCAATTATGGTTCTTCTATTTAAGAAGTTTATGAAATCTAGCGGACACGGTGCTGTTTTCATGGATGGATCTTAGATTTAGAGATGATTGGTACTGCCTTGGTAACAGAAGATGCCTTTGCCTTATAGTAGCTAAAAGACATCTGTTTAAAGTTTTACATCTATTTGGAGAATTTGTGATCTATTATGATCGTCTTATTGTATACAATTGTAAGTAAACTTAACCTGTTTTGCATTTCTAAGCTTGGTCATCCCAGAAACATATTCATGTCACAGAAATTGACAAATCTTTGATATAAGAAAGTCACTTTGATATATGAAAATTCTGGTGACCAGTGACCACCTTTATGTATATGATGCATTTATTCATTTTGGCCAGACCTTGTAATTAAGGTTACTTTTGATTTCTCGAGTCTTTTTGGCTTTAGAAAGATTATCCTTGTCTTTGTTTATGTCTCAGGTTGGAACAAATTACTATAATTCGTCCCCGCCTATGGATGAATCGAAATTACTCATTTTCTCCAGTAACAAAACAACTAGCACAAAAGACTTTGTTATAAGGGTATAGGAAGTCAAAACGTGAACACTGTGGCCATGTTTTTGTTTGGCAACGGAGGTCCACGTGGATTTCTAGTGGTGCATATGCAGTAAGAAAATAGCATTATTTGATTCAAACATGTTTCCCTCGCGCCAAAATTAGCACAAGCCAGTAATTATAATGCAGCATTGAAACACATCCGTTTTTCATATAACTATTCCAATTAATTGCACTTAACAGCATAATTTGCTTATCCTAACAAAACATTAGTGGTTAGTTGACAATTTGAAGGGGATGATCTAGCGCCATTCCAGCATGACTTCAAAATGATGAGTTTCCATTATCCGTCTGCCTACATCAAACATATTAATTGGTTCAAAATGATGTGCAGGGGGAGATGATATCAGCAAGCAATTAGAGGCTGCATCATTTCTTGTATTGCCCTGTAACAATGAAGACTGCACAGAGGAAGCTTCGACTTGGAATCCCGATACTTGTATGCATTCGTGCAATTTGGACCCGCACATTTTTCACGTGGGGGAGGATAGCTAAATAACACAAATCACCAAATCATCAAATTTACGTGCCAGTTACATGAAGCAAAAGCAACATTTAAAGATTAAAAACAAAAACTGGGGATGGTAAGAAGGAAGCAAATGCCGTACCTGCAGGGCACTGGACTGAATATACCTGGCAGCCCAATATCATCAGAAAATGTAACGATCGTTCCGTTAGGACCGATGACCCATCGGACAGTGTTCGGTGCCAGTGTGACAGCACTGCCAGTCCTTCCCTGCATAATATGATAGTCAACACTACATCATAACAAATTCAAACAGCCATGAGCAAATGAAGACAAATATTCTATAATTTCTCAAATACCTGAATCAATTCATCCCTCTGCCGCTTCAGTTTTTCTTCCTTCTTCTTCTTCTTTGAATCTTGACCAAGTATCTTTCTGATTGCCTCAGCCTAAAAATTAGAAGTGAGACTGTTTCTACATTTGTCACCTGAGATAATATTATAAAACCTGATATAAAGGCCAAACCTCAGCTTCCCTAGCTGCCTTCTCTGACTGTACTTTACGTCTCTGTGTAGCCTCAGCTTTCTTTAATTGTCGTTCCACTTCAGAGACTTTCTCCTTTCCTGCGGTCAACCAGCCAACAGAAAAACTGAAAACAAGTTTAGTAAACATATGCATATAAATATCACCAGAATTACGCAATAAAAAAAAGAGAGAAGATGCGCACTTTTAGATGGGGCAGGAAGCAAATCAGTTGCAAGTTCATGAAAACCTGAACCAGAACCATTTAAAATATCTTTTCCCGACTGGAGGGCACGGTTACGTGTAGTGGGGGGTGATTCTTTCCACCCTTCTAGAGGAAAACAAAGAGATCCCTTTTTCAGCTTCTTCCCATTTGGTTCAGGCTCATCAGCAGATGCTAGTTGTTCCTCTTCTTCCAAATAGTCTTTGTCCTTGTACTTTTTCTCTGATCTTGACTTGTTTCTCCTATCTTTTCCCAATCTTGATGATTTATATTCTCCATTAGCATCTCCATGAAAGTCATCATCCATTTGAATTCTCTCTGAACGAGCAACCTTAGAAGCACTTAGTCTTCCAAGGAACCGGATTTCCTCATATTCATCATCATCTTCATCCGCATCTAAGACACATCGCTTAGGAACCCGCTTGCTCTTACGAACTGGTTCATTATCCGTTTGAGCATTTTCCCTAAAGATTTTTCCTTTTGAAGAATACTCCTTTCTAGAACTAGAATCAACTTTCAAGTGGTCTTTTCGTTTAACTCTAAAGCCATTTCCCCCATCAGAACAGAAGGGACCTCCACCTACATCATCCTGCATCAACAGTATTACTAAACAAGCTCTCATCTAGGTAAAAAGTAAAATGACAAGGCATCCATCCATATATTGGAAACATGAAAAACGGAACAAGTCACATACAATTCCTTCTAAAAATGGGGGTATTTCATTCTATAAAGTAACTTGTGAAACCAAAATAGCCATCATTGGACTACAAACGTTTTAAAGAGTTCCTTGTCATTACAGTTGTGATTACACAGAAGAAAAATCAAATTCTTTGGAAAATCAGACAGGTTGAAAAAATAAATTCCACTTATACAGGTGGTCCAGAATGAGACATATTAACAGTTGCAATAATTACAAGAATCGGAGTGAGGTACCTGAGGAAGGGGCTTCAGTTGGGGTGTGAAGGCATCGATCGAGCTTGAAGATTTAGCGACGGAAGAGCCACCAACACAGCCAAAATCCTCTGTATACTTGGTGTGGATTGTATGGGTAACACCTCCAAGCTTAAGCCTTAACTTCTTCAGCTTGTTCCCCCTTCCCAATCCATCAAAAAGAACTACTTTCTCCTTATTATTCTGATCCTTATCAATGTTTCCAAAGGGTGGAAAAATATTAGAGCTCTGTGAAAATATGGGGGGATCTAAGCGAGGTTTTTGTGCTACAACACTCCTCTTCTTCCTCACAATGCAACCTCCAGGTGAAAGCCCAGCTCCAACGAAACTTTCCATTTACGCGAAAATAGCTGCAGTGCTCTTATGCTTCTACCTAAAATCTAAAAATAAATAATAAAAACAAATCCCTAAGCAAGAAATAAATAAATATGATAGCACAAATCTAATGGCACCAACATGTAGTTTATGACAGAAAACGAAAAGCAGCAACATACTGAAGCTTAAAAAATTTCATTGCCGTGGTTTTGTCATGGATTTTTAAGTTCTTAGAGACAAAATTTTCGTTCCTAAGCAACCAAACGGAAAATTAAGGCCGCACCAACGTCCACTCTTACTCTACTTTCAAGCTTAAGAAGAAGAACAAAAAAAAAAAGTACCTCCTTACAATTTAGCTTCTTTTCTTGAGTTGGTGTTTCAGATTTTCTGTCAAACCATTCTCCGTGGAAACGAACAGAGAATTGAAAAAGAAAATGTGGAAACTGAAAACGAAGACGACATGAAAAGCACTTACTTACATTGAAGAAGGCAGGGAGTAGCACGAAGCATAAGCGATGAAGCGAATAGAAACCCTAGGTTGCTGCAAAGGAAGACTCAAGGAGTTAATGCTCAGAGTGTGAGAGAGTGGAGTTTGCCATTTTGGGACTAGTTTTGGTAAAGCATGAAAATGGAACTCCATTATCTGCTTCATTTTCCTCCATTTTTGTTTTTCCTTCATTTAGTTAGCACAGTTTTTTAAGCAGGTCATATGTGCATGAACCAGTCATGGGCTCGTGGACAGGCCTCAAGCCCAAACAGAAGAGGTTGTTGAAGATAAATAACGACCAAAGCTTTGAGACACCATTTCTTCTTGATTATTTGAAGTCCATATTATCTTAAATTTATAAAGTAGTGAAATATATGTGGATTTGATGAACCGATTAGTATTTCAAAAATCTCATAAACCGTTATTCGCCACTCTAGAAAAGTCATCATGCATTCCTTCAAATGTAATTTCTTCCTTATATGTTTACAAGATACTATTTTAGAGTGCCGATAAAAACTCCCTAATACAAATTCAAATATTCAAAATCCTTAGTTTGAATGCAAAGATGCAAATTTATGTGTCTTCGCATAACATTCTTTCATAACCAAGTATATATATATGTCTATACAAGTAATTCGAAATGATACATGCTGGTACTTGTTTAACATATTCCTACATCTACTCTTCCCAATTTGCTAGCTATATATATTTGATGTTTCTCTTTTACAAATTAAAAGAGAGCACAAAAGCAAAATGGAAGCAATTGAAGATTTATATATCATGATCACTTGATCAAGGAAGCAATGGCAAGGCAATTGCTGGCCATCTTGTGAAGCTTGTCATCATAATCCCCTAATGGAGATTTCTCTCCTTCAAACCCATCCCCGCATGTCACAGCATCTGTCACCACCCCGCTGAGCATGCTATTGATCGTGCCAATGTCCCGGCTCTGGATTGCATCCATTGCACTCTGAAGGCCATCCAAGGCATCACCGTACATGTCCTTGCAATCGCTGAGCGCAGCGGCTGTGCCACGGGCAATGTTAGCCATCAGCACAAGTTTTGAGGCCGCGGCTAGCGACAACTTGGCATGCGTCCTGGCTGCCTTGATTGTCATCTCAAGCACACCTATAGGGTCCAGCTTGGATGCTAATGGTAGGAAAGGGGCCACAGATGAGACGCAAATATCAGGGTAGTCAGTGTTTTTGCATATTTGTTGGATTGCTGGGTTAGGTGGGACAAATGATGAAGCTGATTTGGGATATATAGACTGTGGAAAGAGGTTGCTGCGTGGGCTGTCTTTGGGATTATCAGAAGGGCGGCGAAGAGAGGATGTGGAGGAAGGTGAAGGAGAAATAGAATTGCTAGCAGGAGGTGGTTTTTCTGGAGGCTGTGAAGAAGGGTTTGGGGCTGATGCAGTACGGCTTGGTGGAGGACCTGTTGGGCGCCATGAAGGGAAGAATTGACCCGGCTGTGGCTTTGTAGGGGGCATAGCCGGCTGCGAGTTTGAAGGAGAATTTGGTGATGGAGAGGGAATAGTTAGGTACCTCAAGTACAAATTCCGAGGCTTGCAAACGGCTTGTGCAAAGTTGAAGCAAAAGAGGAAGAAAAATAAGATGATGAGAGGTGATTGAGTATAGTACTTTGGCTCCATCGTTGTTTCTGAATTGTTTGCAGGGTGGGAGAAACTAAAAGAGAAGAAAATTAAGGAATGAGAGCTTTTGAAAGACCATTAGCTTGGTTTGCGGATTTTTTGGCTATGAATGGGATTCACTTCTTTTAGCTCATTCCTTTTTTCTTTTTCTTTTTTTCACCATGAGCTTTAGAATGAGAGGACTGCAATTCAATCTCCTATAATAGGTGGATGCTCTCTCTCTCTCTCTCTCCACAAAACCTGATAAAGGCTAATCTTCTAAATGATCTATAGTTTAAGCTCTTCAAATAAAAATAGAAAGTGGACATTCTAAAATAAAGGGGGAAATTAATGTTGACGGTTAAGCAAACATGGATTGGTCATCTTTGGTCTTTCTTGGTATTGCTTAGTTTTAATCAGAGCATGGATTGTCAATCCAAAAGTTTTAGTTCTTTTTTAGGTTTTTTTTTATACAGGGGGATATTGGGAAGGGGGAACCGAACCTAGAACCTACGGTCCAGGGTAAATGCACTTAGCCACTTGAACTACAAGCCACTTGCACACATAGGCAAATAACCTCTCTTCCAAAAGCAAAAGACTCTTTCCCTGAAGTTCCAACCCAGGTACATGGCAATGGAGAAACCCTGTATACAAGTTAATTAGCCCTTGAATTCTAAGAACAAAATCACCATCATGGGCCACAGGCTGAAGTCACATATATACGTTATATGCATACACAAACTCCAGCATATACATACACGAAATCTGTCCAACTTCAATATACAGTAACAAACAGTTGAAAACATAATTTTAACCAAATCTTATCCATACTAAAAAACGGCTTGCAGTTGCAGGAAAGGAAGCAATTGAACCAGAGGCAGCATTGCACTTATTTACCAAGCAGGCATTGGGGGACAAAGGATTTAGCATTCCTGGTCCGCATTGTTCTTCACTACAGTAACTGGACAGGAAGCATTATTTACCACATGGTTGCTGACACTGCCCATGATGACTCTGCAAAACAACAAACACATCCAGATCCATCAAAACACAAAAAAAAAAAAATTTGGACGAAACACACAACACAAAAGAAATTAGATGAGCATTTTTTAATTTTAATTATCCAAAGTGGTTTGATTCACAAACCGACGTTTCATAACAGTACAAACAGTATAACTGTGTAGAAAAGTCTATGGTAGCTATTAGATTATTATTGCCATCGTGGGCCCCAAGAAGTCAATAGGAACTTGACAACCAAAGAATGCAGCCAACCACGACCTGGAAAACAATGGCAGCCTCCCTCAACCAAACTCAAAAATTCCAAAACAATAAACATGTTGTTGTAACACAAACTCAAATTCATGCATCAAGAAATAATTTATTTGAGTTTGTGATTGGTACCTCTTGAGCTTGCCAAGGCCTCTGTTTCCAATAACAAGGAGGCTCAAGGGAATCTTGTCAATAGCCTCAATGATCTTCTCACGGGCATCGCCCCAGTAGATCTTCATCACCACCGTAATCTGCTCCAAATCACAAGGTCACAAAACACCACTTCATTATTCAAGTGTGCAAGAACATCATTGAAACAGAGCTCAATTAGTATGATGAGCTGAATAATTAATAAAACCCAGTTGCAGCCAACCTCTTTCTGCTTAGCCGCAGTGTTGGCGATGTCCAAGGTTTCAGGGTCAGGATTCACTTTATACTTCTTCATAATGTTGGCATCAGAGAACTCAACCACAGGGATCAAAGCTGAAAAGTGAGTCAATATATCATGCATCCACTCATAACAAACAAAACCCAGAAATCAAAATTAAAACTTTAAACCAAATAAGCAAAAGAAACAGAAAAGTTTCAAACTTTAACCAGAAAATCTTGATCAGAGCTGACATTTAACAGAGGAGAGAGAGTTAATTATTAAAGATCTATAGATTTATATGACACAGAGAGAGAGAGAGAGAGAGAGAGAGAGAGAGAGAGAGGGCATACGGGAACCGTTGATTCCCCAGAGCTGCATCTCGCCTTGCTCATAGTTCTCTTCAGGACGAACGACGACCAGGATGAGGAAATCGCCCTGCCGGGCAACGTTGTCCACTGCCCATTTCAGGGCAGTCCGGCTGCCCGCCGAGAAATCCACAGCCACTCCAATTCTCCTTTCTCCCATCTCTCTGAGTTTGTGGGATTTTTTTGATCTGAAAAGTTGGTCAGAAGAAAGAACACCGAAAGTTCAGAGGGTGAGAAAGAAGAGCTCTTTATTTATGCAATTGGCCATGACCACCAACATGATAGAAAGTTGGGTGTGTAGTGATGTGATCTGCCCACTTGTCGTGATATTTTGTTAGTTTATGTGAACCGTTGGATGGTACTCTGGGTGGGGTCTTGAGGCTTGTGATGAGCATCTGTCGGTGGATGTTTAGGAGATGTGGTGCTCATGTGATGGATAGGAGGTTTAAGTCTTTGCTTTGAATTATGAGCATAAGACACGACTGAGTAATGCCCCAGTTTCCCCAGTCAAATATGCAAAGGGTACATATAATGCTCAGTGTGTCACTCTGTCTGTCGGGTCAGTTGGCCCCAAAATGCGAGCCATAAAATAAATGAAAATTCAGACAGTGGAAAAAATAAAACGCTTTATTAGATGGGATGGGATGGCTTGAGTCCTTTCATAAGGTTGAGTTTGAAGACAAGATACAACTTGATCTAAAGACTTTACCGACTGCTTTTTTTTTTTCGCTGCCAAATTTGATGTTTGATTATAATGTGTATGGCGATATTTATGTGGAAACCACTTGCATCGCGTTTATTTATTTCATTTGTTAGAGACGTAATCAGTAATGGGGTTAGTAAATATGATACATTTACATTATATTTTTTTGTAAATGCTATGTTGTTTAAAGTTATAATGCATTATTTATTGTTCAGGCTATATTAAAGAAATATTGAACCCAAAATCAATCATTGTGAAATCATATTATTAATTAATTATTAATTGTGTATTGAACAATCATATAATATATAAATGTGGTTTCATCAAGTGTGTATGGATTAGGGGTTGTTTGTTCTAAACATGGTGGAGAGCAAAGGAGAGTATGGAAAAGCAAGCTCCAACAAAGGTGAGAAGAAGAAGCAAAATTGCAGCAACAAACACCATAACCGAAGTTGGAGTTTTGAGATGTGTGTCCAAATTCTGCCGCTTTTCATGCCAACTTTTGTTCTTGATGTATTCAGCCACCTCTTGAAAAAGCCTCCCATAGTAGAAATCCGTAGGCTTGATCTCCTTGCAAAGCTTATTGAATATTTCATAGACCTCTTTATCCTTCTTCTCATCGTGGATGAGAATCTGTCTCCGCCGAAGTAATTTCACATCCTTCTCAGAGGCGATGAGGCACCCCATGAGGAAGGCATAAGATGTGACATGCTGTATGGTATCATCAAGCTGATGCTGCTCAAGTGCAATGAGGTTCCTAAGAAGTGTTTCTGTGCAATGATGGACTTCAAGAGGTGGGATTTGGAAAACACCATGAGCAAACTTGATGTCCAAGAAACTTTGGCTTGTAGCCGTCTTGAATTTAATGCCTGCCCTTTTAAGATTTTTGGCACAATCCAAATCTTTAGGAGGCACATCTTCTTTCAGATGCAATTTCGGATATGTTGGGAGGATACAATGCCGAATTAGATCAAGTAAATGATACCCTTCTTGATTGAATTTGTCTTTGATAACATGCTTATCATCTCCTGGTATTATTCTTCTGTAAAACCGGGACGCGAGCTCATTGAGTGGCTCGTTGCATTTTGGAGGAAGTGGTACTAATTGAAATAGCCTTTGAACAACAAAGAAAGGAATTTGGTTTTCTAGTAATGCCATGTCACATCTCAGGCCGAAAAGCATCCCAGGCTTAGTGAATATAGGGTCTCTCCGGGACCTAAGGCTCTTGTAGGCATACTTCAGAAATAGCTCAATGATGAAGCAGCCATCAATTAGCAACAATTGAACAAAGTCATCACTGCTGCTGATATCAATCTCTCCCTCATAGCATCTTCGTGCTTTGTGCTCCAACTCTCGAAGAGCTTTCACGCAGATGCTCAAGGTTGCTTCTAAATTCGGTTTTCGATTGAGGAGTGCATAACAATAGCGCCACTTATCATCTTGCGGCACTGTAGTCTGTTTTGCACGGTGCAGAGGACCAATGGAAACATGATCAGGAGTATATTTCTTTTCGTTATGCTCGCGAAGTTCCTTGGGGACTCTGAAGATACAGACTGATACAGCAATGTTTTCCATCTTTTCCTTGATAGAAGATACAAGTTCATCATGCTCAGGAGTGATTTCAACCGAGACATGGTCTCTTAATTGTGGCTGTCTCTCTGAAATCGTGTTGTTTTCCATATTTCAAAGAGAAGTTGTGGTTTGTTCTATGCAAAAAAGAAAAGCCCTCAATTTGAGTATTGGGAATTCTCAACAGAAAATGCAATGCCATTCTTCTCTAGATCAATACAAGCATGATACAGAACTAGAGTCTCATATGTGCACTATTCATGTTAACTTTTCTCTTTCTCCAGGGAGAAAAAGGGTTTTAACAAATTCCTTTACTTTGGTTTCACAATGTTGGTATAAAACCTTGAAATAGCACAACAATTAGGCAAAAATGGGTAAGGAGGGTCTGGTATTGTTTATCTGATAAGATTGAGAAGCAGCAAACATAAGATATCTTAATTTAACTGTAACGGACCTAGTAAATGTGGTAAAGTCTTGGATTTGTTCTTCGAAATATTTAGTTATATACTCATTCTTAGCACTAGTGATATAGATAAACTATACACCATTTAATTTTGGTTATTAAATTACTTTGATGCCCTATTAAGTGTTTTGGGTTTATGAGGGTTTGGGGTTGGGCTTGTTTTAAGAAATTGACGGTAGTTTTATAATTTTTAGGAAGTTCGAAGCCTCTTTGTTATCTTGTAAATGGGCTTTGGGTGTGTTTTTAAAATCCATTTTCATATAGGGTATTTTTTATATAAAAAAAAATTTGGGCCTTATATTGAGTATAATAGTGAATCCCCCTTGTTCTTCCCCTGCCTTCCCACCTTACAAGATATGAGTAAAACTGGAAAATATTTTGAAATGATTTACAACCTAAGCATGGAAAATCACAACATTTTTTTTTACAGTAAATTGAGCGAGACTAACTTGAAAAGCTAAAGTCAGGAAAACCCATTTTCTTGATATATAAAATGAGTGTTTCTCTGACCTGCAGGCAGAACAAACAGATGCCGCAGCAGAAACTATTATATTTGGCTCTTACCACTTGGATAGAATAATTCCAATATAATGTACCTTGTTCAAATAGATATACATTCATTCATGGCAAACATTTCGAAGACAGAATATACAGAGAAAATAATAGCAGAATGGTTCAGGAATCAGTGTACCTTGCTGTAATCAACAGGAAAATGTAGCTGAGCTGCTTAGATGGGGCTATTTTGCCCAGTCATGAGCATTTCCTTTGTTTTCACAACAAAACTTGATGAGCATTTCATGGTTGCAGGAAACCAAGGAGCCATTTATATGTAAGCCCAAAACTTTCACAACTAATAAAAGAAGACTCAGCTTGTGGAGGACCAAAATCTGGGTGGAAATTTTTGGTCCGACAGTACAGGAATCAATGTTAACTTGAGCAGTTTGTCAAACAGACCAAAACAGAATGCAATAAATTACACGGAACTGCAGTCTGCAGAGCAGTATTCCTACTGAAAAAAGAAACGTGGACACCAAAGCATAGCTTTGTCCAAAGATAAAGCTAAATATAATTGCTTAAAAGTAAATTTAAGTATTAGTTATAGTAAATTCACTGTGGCTTTAAATATGAACGCATCAACGAGGTCTCTCTCTACTTTGTTAGCTTTTTGTTTTTGGCTTATTGTCATGAGCCTATTGAGTGTGGCTTTAAATATGAACGCATCAACGAGGTCTCTCTCTACTTTGTTAGCTTTTTGTTTTTGGCTTATTGTCATGAGCCTATTGAGGAGAAACACCAGTATGAATAGGGGATAATAATATTTTGTTATTACCAACCAATTGCGGCATTCTATGCGTGATAATTTTTTCACATTATAATTTGTAAGAATTTGATTAATAAATAAATAATCTCTTACCCAGAAAAAAAAAAAACCAAAATCCAGTATGTAGATTTTAGATATCACGTGCCATGCCATGGGATGTCACGTGATTGATCGGATATACACGAGAAGTTGTCTAAAACTAAACTAACCACCCCTCGTTTCTCTCCCTCACTTCAGTTCAGTCTCTCAATCTTCACTTGTAAATTTACATCACTATCGGAGGAGATCAAGTCTTCAAGATGCCATCTTGGCCGTCCATATTAAATTTCTCGACGAAGAAAGTGGAATACCCAATAAAGAAGTAAAGTAAAGTCCGATCCAAAGCCAAGTCCGAGAATCTGTTTCCATTGCTTTTGTTTTTATTCTGTTTTCATTTTTGTTTTGCAACTTTACCCATCAGTCTTCTCTCGAGCATTGTCTCTGATTCTCATTTGCAAGAACACTATAGGGGTTCAGCAGAAAAAAGGTTTTTGATTTGTGTTCTGCTTCGAAACGATGGCGTTTTGGTGGCCTCTGCTCGTCCTTGGATTCGCTTACGCCATTTGTAAATTCCTCTTTATGCTCATTCCCCCTAATGTACCTTCCATCGAAGTCGATGCTTCTGATGGTACCTCTCTCTCTCTCTCTCTTTCTCTCTCTCGCCATTTATATGTTTCTTTTGTATTGGTGATTGATTGGCGCGGTTTTATCAATGCCAGTGTCGGATGATGGGAACCAGACGCAGGAGAATGGTTTCATATATGTGAGTTTTTATCAAAGCTTTTGTCTTTTGATTGTAATTTTTATTAAAATTTGTATCTTTTTGTAAGCATTTCTCTTCAATTCTTGATTGTAGTTAAATTCTTTGCATTTGTCGATGTTACTTACTTTCTTATCAGTTAAACCTAGCTAATTATAGTTTTGGAAGTACTTAAATTGCTTATAATTAGATTCAAATTTGCTTTTCACTTTGTACTGTTTCTTGCTAGTTTATGGGTGCTTAAGGTTATTACATTGTTTGAGTTGTATGAATGTGATCATGTGAAGCATCCAATTGGCTGCCTCTCATTGGTGTTTAATGTGCAGGTACCTCCGAGGGGAAGGACGCCGCAAGCTGAGACGAAGGTTCAGTGCTATGAACCTGCAACCATGAAATACTTGGGATATTTCCCTGCACTGACACCAGATGAGGTTAGTCCTGTTATGCATGT